CCCCCCCCCCCTTGCCAACCTGCGCCTGCGCTGCCACTGTGTGAGCGGCACTACCGCTAAGGCATCACGGAGGGAGAAGCCACCGGCCCCGGTAAGGTAAACCTGGAAAAGGGAAGGAAGGAAGGTAAAGGAGAGAGAGGAAAATGGAAGGAGAGGAGAAAGCGAGAAGAGAGGAGAGCGAGCAGTGTGCGTGCTCGTTTCCCAAATCTTGCTTCTCAGCGAGCACGCGCCGAGCTGCGGCAGCCCGGAGCAACTCGAAAGCGCCAGGGTCGGCACGCAGCCCGGCTCCCAGTCTGGTCTCGGCCTCCGGCGGCTCGCTCCCCGCCAGTCGCTCTCCCTCTCTCTCCCTCCCAGCCAGCCAGCCAGCCGGGGCGCGCGCTCCCGCGCCCCCTCCCCCTGCCGTCGCGCCCCCCGCCCCCCACCTCCCGCGAGCAGGAAACGCGTGGCCCCGAGGAGGGCGACCAGGTGGGGGAGGCCATGCTGGGGGAGGGGGCCATGCAGCCAGCAGCAGTCTACCTAACTGCTGCCGCGGACGCTAGTGACGCGCTCTTGGCCCAGCCTGCTCCCCGGATTCTTAGGCTGGGGGTCATCTGGGACCAGGGGACCCACAAAACAACCGGCGTCTGCGAGCCTCCCTGGGGCTCCCGAAAGAAATCCTGTTTGGCTTCCTCTGTCTATGCAGCTCCCCTCTCAACTGAAACCACTGGTCCAAGACAGCCACAATCCAGATATACTAGCAAGTCATAAAACTGAACAAAAGCCGACAAACCTTACGGCACCAGGGCTATAGGGCCCAGACAAATTACGACCGTCTAGGTAATATTTAAATAGATGCCTAAAGTAATTGCAGGGGGCGCGGGCTAGTCCTCCTGTTGTAAAAGTGGTGGCCGGGATAAAGTGGAAGGTGAAGATAAGAAGTCAAAAAAAGAGGTAAAATTAAAAAGCTTCATTCCACAGCTTTTATTCTTCTATAAGAACATAAACATCGTCTTTTTTCCACGCACAGCAGCATTACAATATTAATTTATTCTGATTTAAGATTAGAAGTAAATAGAGCTAGAACTAACATTTATAATAACGATAGAATGCATTTGCATAAAACAAGATTGGCAATTTTTCATAATAATAGACATTTATACAGATTTGTATTTATAATTTTTCTTTTTCTGCACCTACAGGTTTGACCCTTTTATGCATGTAATTTCACAGTATAAAGGAAACCCAAACAAAGTCTCCCTTCTCTAGTCTATTCCGCTTGCCCCAGCCCTCCTTGGGTTCTATGAATTTTAGAAAGGAAAAAGAGGAAGAAGAAAAAAGAAAATGAGAAAGAAAACTCTCCACAAGACAGGGAGAATTGTGGTGTGCTTGTCGTGTGTTACCAGTGGTAACAATTACTTAATGACAAAAAAAAAAAAACCCACTAAATCCACACGCATAAACAAAACTACCTTAGGTTATTTATCTACAGACAGAAGGATATGGAAATTCAGAGGTAAGTGAAATAATTTAGTCCCACAATGCAAGACTAACACAAACTGGAAGAGAAGTTTCCTTCTCCTGGTCGTTCTTTTTTTTTTTTTTCTTTTTCTTTTTCTTTTTTTCCTTTTAAAGCTGGGATATCTTGCAGAGGAAGGAAAGATTAATCTTTCTTACTCTCAATTTTTTAATCAGCCAAAGTCAAGCCCTTTTGCCAGCCTGCATGTCCATGCCTGTAAGCCCTTCTCTTTGCCAAGGAAGAAAGAAAGAAAGAAAAAAGAAACCCAGGGGCCTGTGTCCCCTGATTAAACACAGCCCAGCACTCCAGGCAGGCGAGCCCGGTGGCGGCTCCTTGCACCATTGACCTCAGGCCAGACACCTCAGCGCCTACAATGGGACCTCGGCCTTCCGGCTAGGTTTGCCCGCCCCCGCAGGAAACCAGCTCCACCGGGAGGACCGGAGCCATTTCCAGCAGAGGAACCCCGAGACAGCAAACCAGCCCAGTCACCACTCGACACTTCAGGACAATAGTTCTCTCTCTAGAAATTTAGCACGATATGGCTTTTTCCCCCAGAAAACAAGTAAACCAGCACCAAGCAAACAGACAAAGAAACAAAAAGTCAGAACAAACCAGCCCTGCACAGATGTAACGGCCAGCGAGATGGCGAGTGTGGGAGGGAGGAATGGGGCTCCGGCACAGGTGCGAGTTCCTGGGCAGAGGCCGAAGACAGAGAGAGGAGAACGGCTCTCTGGCAGCGGGGAAAAAAAAAAACGGCGTTGCCTGGAGCTTCATCAGGAAAAATTAAAATTGGCTGTGAGCTCCCGGATCCGGTTTTCTCGGTTCATTTTCTTCAGTTTCATCCTGCGGTTCTGAAACCAGATTTTAACTTGTCTGTCCGTGAGGTGGACGCTGCGGCTGATCTCTAGGCGCCGCTCTCGAGTAAGGTACATGTTGAACAGAAACTCCTTCTCCAGCTCCAGCGTCTGGTGCTTGGTGTAAGGGCAGCGCTTCTTCCTGCCGCTCTTTGCTGTGAGCCAGTTGGCTGCGTTTTCGCCTTTGGAATTGCCTGGCATTCAAGAGAATAAAGAGGGGAAGGTTAAATCGGGGCCAGGCTAGGCTGTGCGCAGGGGTGAATTTGGGACTTCTCTGCCATAAGAGGGATGCCCTAAGTCACACGGAGTTTTGCGGCCGTCTCCCCCCCCTCCCCTTTAGCTTGCTCAAGAAGATCAT